GTAGGGCAGGGAAGGGTTTGTTTACAGCAGGTGCTGCTGTCTGAAAGAGCTGCAGGGAAAACCCAAAATCCTCCTTGGACAGGGTGGGGCTCAAAGTTCTAAAATGCACTGAAGGAGGCGAAAGGCTATCTTTTAACCAAAGAGGGAAAAGTAAGGGACTGAGGGAGACTGCTGAAAAAGAGGAAGATAAGTCAAGCCATAAACAAGAGAGTAAAATACAGGAACGCAAAACAGTGTTCTGCTGACTTGGGGCTTTAAAAGAAGGAGCCATTCTCTGTGTGTTTGAAAACATTTTGGCCATAGCTGGTGGCCATTGGGCAGAAGGGCAAGGTAGCTTTGAAGTCTAAAGAAACCTTCAGTTCCCTCAGTGGGAGTGTTCCATTAGAGATAAGGAAAGAATATGCAGATACAAACCCAATTACTCCCTCTGCTTTTTATCTTCTCCTTGTATGTGACTCTTGGGGACCTTGTCTTGGGGACAGGCCTACAACAGAGCATGATTTAGAGGTTCCTGGGTTCCCTGGGAAAATACCATCATAACATCCAGTTGCCTGCACCCTATTCAGCTCCCAAAATGCGCAATCTGGTGTGTACTTCACATGATTGCAATTTACCTGAGAAATTCTGTTTTTTAAGCTTTATTGGAGGGCAAATAAATCTATTCGGTACACCACCGTTGCCTTGTTTTATCCTCCGCATCTTTTTATAGCTCATTACCACAGTCTCATGCCCAAGAAGGCAAGAGAGGGCAATCCTTTAGTTTCTCAAAGATAATGATTACCTACATTAAAAACAAAAACAAAAGCAAAAATGTAATATCAGAAGTTTCTAGATACTAACATCTCCTTAAAATTTCCCCAGTAATCATTATGATCTATTTTACACCCCTCTAAATTTGTAGAATTATTTACACGACCCTCTCCCCCCAAAGAAAACACAGCAGGATCTTTGGTGCCAACAGTTATTAACGCTGCCTGTCATTTAATGTGGTAGGTGGTGCTGGTGAAACTGGTAGAAGCTGGTGCACAGAGTAGGGCAACTTCTCTGAGGAAGGGTTATCCATTTAAAATCGTTATTGCTCTTCTCGGATTATAAAAATAAATACTAATTGTGGAAAAATTCAATCTTTCAGAAATATGTAATGCAGAAAGCGAAAGCAATCCCTAGAGTTAATCACTCCAGCTTTCCCTCCAACATTTATTTAAAACAAAACAAAACTGTAGTTGTTTTTTAAACGGGATCATACAATGTTTAAGCCAGAACTTGCTGTTCTTGGTTAAGATTTGGTCTACTGAATAAAGAAGAGATCCATCACATCATTTTTAAATGGTTGCATAGTATTTAAAAGGTTGCATAGTACTTTATAGAAAAGATGTTTTTACAATTATTTTACTTTAGTGAACATTCTTGTTCACATATCCTGTACATGTGAGAACATTTTTGGATATAAAATCCTAGATATGAATTTGCTGGGTCAATGGGTGTACGTATTAACATTTTCATTAGACTATACTTAAATTTTAAATCTTTAAAATTGGTTTGTAGCTTGAAAGGGCACTGGCATAATTCTTTGTTGCAAAGTCTGTCAAACAACAGTCACCAAGTCCAGTTTTCTTTCATTCTTTTTTCAGGAGTCACTGAGATAACAGTTTGTTGTCACACACTGGCATACAATCTCAGTTTGTCAGCATTACAACTCCAATGCATGTTAAAAATATTTGCCATTTTTGGGGAGTGAGCTTTTGGATTTTTTTTTTCAGATGACATTAGCTTCAGGAATGTTTTTAGAGGTCAGAATAGGATTTAGAAAGGTAGATAAAGTAAGACTAATCTACTACCCAATTCTTTCATCTGCTGAACAGAACATGCTGCTGCTCTGGGGACAACCGCACGGGTTATTAGCTGCAGGGGGCCGCTCTGCCAGTTTGCCTCTACTCAGCATATGGGTTCCATCTCTAGCCATTTTCCAGTGTCTGCCACGGTAAACCTAAGCCACCAATTCTGACCACACTTTCACTTTGAGGACACAAAGAAGACAGACTTTCAAGAGCAAAATACTTGTAATAGTACCCTCCTGGACCTCTCATTCTAAAGTGATTTTTGCTTCCTCTGGACTCACAGATTTTAAAATGTTTGTGCTATTCATTAACTTTGCAATTTTCCTTTGGACCTAAAAAAAGATACAAAAGTTAAATCATTTAAGTGTTTATATAAATCAAATGACTCACCAAATTCTCCCCACTATATGCTTTATGAGAGGAGGGATTTTGTTTGGTTCACTGATGTTTCTCCACATCTAGAACAGTACCTGACTCATGAAAGGTGTTCAATACATATTTGTTGAATGAATGATAAATTCTTTGAGGCCAGGGATCTTCTTATATTTTGTATCCCTATAGTAAATGCCAAGTTGCTGATAAAAATTAAGGAAAGGATGTTCCTCATTCAAGAACATAACTTATGACCTTCTTAGAAGCAAAGTGTAAAAGACCCCTGGTCTAAATAAAACTACACACTAAATCTACAGTAAGAATAGTTGGGTCTTTGATTTAGAAAGTAGTGTACTGATTTTTCTAAGCCTTTGATCATCATTATAAAGATCAGATTTGAGCATTAAACAACATTGACCCCAAGCTGTATTCTATAAGTCTCTTTTCCAAAACAAAACAAAACAAAACAAAACAAAACCCAACAAAAACATGGCATCAAGTTGTTAATTGGGAATGCCTCTGTAAGCCTAAACATTTTTTTTTTAATGATACTGTATAAGCAAGGTGGCAAAGGAAATATTTGTGCACAACATTTATATTCTGGACTTTGTCAATGGTGGTATGACACTAATAAGAGAGATATCTGCTTTCACATCCATGTCAAACGTGCAATTTTTTGGTTTTAAAGCCAATAAAAATAAAAGCAGTAAAAAACTATAAAAAAGGGAATTAGAGTGAAAAACTATCTAAACCCGGGGCATATTTTGGATAATATATAACATTTGGGGGAATAAAGGCAGAACGTGTACAAACATAAGTTTTACAGTTATTCCAGAAAGAAAGTCCATCTTATAAAACACATTCTAATTTTAGTCTTTTAGTACTTATTTATGTCAGACCAGCTCTTATTGGATGTTTGGTTTCCTGTGTTGAGACTTAGAAAAAAATACCTTGTGGTTAGAAAATAGCATATTCTCAAGACTAGATGACTGAAAAGACTATTTTTTGGTTTACTATTTTTTACAACGAACTTTGCTTTAAAAAAGAGAATGAATTAATCAGACTTGAGATTAACTCTCACTGGTAGAACTGGAGTGAATATATTTAGTCTGCTTAACAAAGAAAAGGGATCATTTCTGGAAAGAATAGGGCCTAAAATAAAGAAGAGTTTTTGATCTGTAACAAAAAAAAAAAACAAAAAATAAAGAAAGAAAAATTAAGAATACTTGGAGGTGGGTGTAGATTTCATAAGAGAGTAGTTAAGGAAAGGCACGTGCCCAAGGTAGATTAGAGAGCAAAGTCCGAACGACAGCAACAACAGAAGCATTCCTGAGGAAAACTAACGCCAGGAGCGCTCCTACGGTTAATTAAAACAAAAAGGTAAACAAGTATTCAACCGACTGAGGCTTACATTAGAGTACAGTACACTTGCGACACCAGACCTTCAAGAAAAAGAAATGCTCAAAAAATTTTCTTAAAAGACACATTATGGAAAAAAATTATCAAATAAAAATTAGAACATTCTTACTTGAGGTAGATAAAAATAAAAAATACAGTACAAACAGGGTAAGAAAATACTATTGGTTTCAATCACTCAAGTTCGAAAGTGAAGAACTGTCATGATCATACATTTTAAAGCAAACAATAGTCATTTCTAAAGTCTGTACAAAAAAGTACATGTGTAAAAATTCCTGAAAAAATTTGATTAAAAATTTAAGTTTGACAGTCATCACGTGGTAATATTAATATCGCACTTGTAATATTTGTAAATTTTAGATTTAAAAAACAAAGTATGCACTACTTCTATTTTAAAGGTGTTTTGAAGCTACAAAAACCATTGATGGAAAAAAATGACGAAACATTCACTACCTACACCAAAACAAATACACACGACGTCCTAAATTTCATTGTATAGGAATACGAGCTATTGAAGTGCAAGGTGCATGAGTATCTATCTCAGCGACGCGCGTAAGCTCAGCCAGGAACCACAAACGTGTTCCGAGCGGAGGCCCAGTTCAAGCCCATCATCTCATGGACACAGTAAATCATCCAAAAGCCCACCTTCAGCAGCTAAAGTTGTCATGAGAACAGGCCGATGGGTCCTTAACTCCAGCAATAACAGAATCCTCGGTCTTATTGTTGTGCAGCAGATGTCACTATGGGTGGGGCTGACGCGCAGAGCCGCAGAAACATTTCGGTACCACCCCCCAGAACACTTTCAATGGGATAGCAGGGCTCCCAAAAGGTAAGGGCAAAGCTCCCAACGACCAGTTCCTAGTAGAAACGAGGAAGTTACGATGTGGCCGCGGTCCACGTCAAGACCGCAATGAGGTTTTTAAAATCCCCCAGGTTTTTAAAATCTCCCCTGGGAAAGAGATCGTCCCCTCTCCCCCTCCCCTCCCGGCTCCTCCTCGGGACACTTGGCTGAGTCTTTCTTTTCCTCCTTCCCACGCTGAGGTGAGGCAGCACGCAAGCCAGGGACGCCTGTTTTTCTCTTCATGCCGAGGGAACTCTACGGGTAGGAACCTCAGGTAGCAGGAGGGGACAGGGCGGCGTTGTGGGGAGGCAAAGAAAGCTCGCCTGGGACGAGCCGGTCCGGGGTTGGGAAGGGACAGGAGGGCTGCCGGGCCGAGAAGAGGAGGCCGAGGTGACGAGGAAAATCTGCCGGCTCGGAGCTGGGACCGAGCGCTTCCGGCGGGCCCCAGCCACTCTCGGCCTAGCGCGGCTGGCAATCTGGACTCCACCAGGGCGGGCAGGTAGTAGAGAGGGTAAACCGCGGCTCGCACTTGCCTGGGATCGGGTGACCAATAACTGGTAATAGTCTTTGCTCGGCGCTGGGCCTTGTCCTACAATTTCGAACAGAGTCTCCGGCAGCCACGACGCCATCTTGGGACGCCACCGTCGTCGCTAAGACAACCAGGAAGGGGCGGGGTTTGATCGGGGTCATGAGGCCAAAGCCCTAGTTTAAATCGAACCCCGCTTCTGAGTTAACAGGGGGTTTCTACCTTGGGGTGATGTCTTCTTTTCCAAGGGTCTCAGGGAACTTTGATCCGTGAAATTTCTACCTCAGGTCTCAGGTGACCCGAAGGGGAATTAGTTCCTGCTACCACGGAGGGGCGGGGGGTGACCCCGGCGGAGGGATATCAAGTGAAGCTTCACATTCCCCTTCCTGGTCCCTCGAAGGGATCCGGAGGAGATTGCAGGCCGCTGGGGAAGTCGATGCGGGCGTTGGGGGAGGGAGGGGCGATGTGATGGGCTGCGAGTAGGCAGCGGGGCCTGTCCCGCGGACGAGACCGTCAGCGCAGCCGGAGGGAAAAGTAGTTCCCGGAGGCTGTTGGAATAGGCGTGGAGGGAGGCGGCGCGGGCGGAGGCGCACGCCGGCCGGGGTGCTGCGGCTCAGCTGATAATTGAAGGGAACCGAGGAGCCGCCGCCACCACCGCCGCCGCCGTCGGGGGGTGGGGGGAGCGAGTGGAAGTTGCTGCCGCGCCACCGAGTCCGGACCGGAGACTTTGGGGCCAAACTAGGTAACTGAGGCGCAGTTGCGAGCGGTGGGGCCAGGCCTGGGGGGAGGGTGATGTGCTGAGATTGGGAGGGGGGTGACGGCGTTGAGGGGGGGGAGGAGCTGGAACAGAAAGTCCCAGGAAGCACAGTTGTGTCAGCGCCGCGGTTCGGCCCCTGCTCGGCCTTCTCCCGGCGCCGGCGGCGGGACTGCGGAAGGACGGGGCCGGGGGTTGACTGGCAAGGCGCTCGAGAGAGACCGCGACCGTAGGGACCAGGACCGTGCGGGAGCTGAGGAGGGGGTCGCTGGGTCCGCTCTCAGGTCCTCCGCCATGAGGAGGGCCGTTCACGGAGCCGGGGTGAGGCGTGCGGGTGTTAGGGAGCCCGGAGGGGGTGGGGGGGCCGGAAGTGGGCTTTGGAGCTTGGAGGGCGTCTAGGAAGAGAGAAAGTGGGGGGCCGGAAGTGCAGGTGGGGAGTGTGGAGACAGCAAGGGTTCCCCGGAAATGGGATGGGGGCCCGGAAACCGGGAGAGGGGAGGCTCCGGGGCCTGGGACGGCCCGGAAATGGAAACTAGGGAGCAGCTCGAGTGACAACAGTTGTGGGAAGCGGGGGTCAGAGAAGGTAGAGGCCGGAGTGACTTTAGACCACAGTAAGGGGTTTCTTGCCAAAGGGGGACGGTTGCGGGCGGGCGAGGACGTAGACGGGGTCCGCGCTTGGCAGTTGTTTTCAGTCGTGGGAAGTTGAAGCTGCGGGGGAGATGACGACGAGACGGGCATGGCAAGAAAAGAGGCCGAGAAACTTGGCCGAGAGGAGCCGAGCATCCTTCTCAATAGATCAGCGTGGGAATTGGGGAGAAGGGGTCCAGGACTTGGGGGTGGTGGTGGACCAATTGTCACTCCAACCGTTATTAGCATTCAAAGCGAGTCAGGAGATTAATTTATTTATATGTGGATTACATAAAACCTGTTACAACGTGTGTCTATTCAGTTCACCCTCCGCTCTTCACAGTGAGTGGGTTTCTAGTTCAGAAACAAGTTACAGGGGAGAAGGTTGTAAAATCTCAAATCCTGTCCTCCGTGTTGCTCCCTTCCTCAGAATGAGAGAAAGGTTAACATTTTTTTAGAGGGAGAAATTAATGAAGATTTTAAAAATGTGCAGATCAGGGGAAAATAACTTAGACATTGAAACTCTTGCTGAGGGTCGGGAGGGAGTCGGTTACCCTCGAGTGGAGAGGAGAGAACGGAAAGGGCTGCTCCTAAACCCGTAAGACAGATTTGCTTCTGATAAGGCGGGTTTGTCTGGGGAGAGGTTGAGCTGCAGCGTCGTGTCTGGCCTTGGGTGTACTTTAATTGCTCGTTAGTTAATTGGGGGAGGGACTCTGTCAGTGTGTAAACGTTCGTGTGTGCGTGGTGGGGGCGAGCGGGACGTTTAATAGCACGGGGAAATGGGTCCCGAGTGGACTTCAGCTGCTCCCCCGCTCTCTCCCGTCCTAGTCGGCGTTCCCCGATGTTGCCTGGGCTGCCAAATCACCCGATCCCCGGGCTTGACTCCGTTTTGTAGGCCCTTTAGCCGTTTGTGTAACTTTCTAGTCCTTTCCAGTCTCTTTAGATATTTTTGGCATTTCATTTTTTAAAGACCAGGAAAGGTGAGGCTCAGAATCTCCTCTCTAAAAAACAAAACAAAAATATATACGGGGTAGAAAGTTGAAAGAGCTATTGAGTGAGGTAAAAAACCGAGTCTCAGAACAAAGGTCTTAGTTGTTAGAGAAAAAGGCAAGAGGCCTATATATGAGGCTTGTGTGTGTCGCATTTACACAGGGGGTAGGAGGTTGGAGAAGGAACCCAGTGAGGCTTGAGGAGTGGAATTAGCAGAGGTTTAGAGACAATAAATTGCAAAGGGTGTTAATGAGGCTTATGTTCATATTTACATCATCCAAAGAACTTAATATGAAGCGTGAATTTTAGAGTAAACACAGTTTCTAATTTCTTTTGAAAGTCCTTGCTCCATGTTCAGCCCCAGGAATATTGAATTAATGTGGCTTTTGAATCATCTTTGTGAGGTTGTTTGGAGAGTTTTTATTTCATTTATTTTAAGCTTAAGAGAGCACATTAACATGATTGGGGTTTGTGGGCTTTGTCCACAGCTGCCTTTCTATGAATGTGCCAATATCCATAAGAATTGAAGAACTGTAATTAAGATTATTTTTTCCATTTGCTCCCCAGTTTTTCAGGAGTTTGAGTGGTTTTTCAGTCTGCTCAGCTGACATTTACTAGTTAGTTTGTGTCCATGAACAGACTTTTTGTTTTAGTTTTGCATTTTCTAAAAGTTCTAGAAAACTTTTGGCAGTTAGAGTTCCAGAAGGTACTAAATTAAAATAATTATATTTTAAAAATGAAGGGGATGCGAGGCCAGGGTAAAATCAATGATTTCTAGCAAAGTAAATTTGAAATAATGTTTACTTGTCCATTTTAACTTTTAAGATTACTGGATTTATGTTATCTAAATACGGTTTTGTGTTCCTATTTTAAAGACGTTATCCTAGCAGAGAGAGAAACTAGTTTAGGAATTCATACCCTGACAGTAAGTGCCTGGTGACCTTGAGCTAGCTATTCACTCACATTATCGGGTCTCCAGTTATTTTATCTGTAAAATGGGGGTGGATAATCACTGTATTTCCTCACTTGCTGGTTGTGAGACCCAGTGAATATAATGGCTCTGAAAAACTACAAACTACTAGATTTAGAAAATTACATTAGTTATTTTGAAGTCATTAATAAAAACTAATAGTTTATCATTAGTGGTGATTGGGAGAGGTTAATGGCAGTTTGAAGATAAGAAGATCCTGTACTTTATAATCATTGAAATTGCTGCTAAATTGGTAGGGGAACTTGGGCCCAATTTCTATTAAAATTATTTTTATTTTTCATCACCGTGATAGATAGTTTTTCACCACATAGTATACTGAATAAATTTATTATTTTTTGAGAAATTTTAAACAAATTTCTTTACATTTTTATTATTTTTTTGTCTATGAGTTTACCTTTTTTTTTCTTGCTTAATCCCTTCATCTTTTCACCCAGTACCCCTCCCCACCTCATGTCTGACAGCTGTCAGTTTGTTTTCTATATCTTTGAGTCTGTTTCTATTTTGTTTGTTTTGTTCTTTAAGATTCCACGTACATATAGGCAAAGTCATATATTGTACAGTACTTGTCTTTCTGTGACTGGCTTATTTCACTTAGCATAATATTCTGCAGGTCAGTTCATGCTGTTGCAAAAGGTAAGATTTCCTCTTTTTCTTTTTTTTTCCGCCAAATGTACCACAGCAATTAGATCCATTCATCTATTGATGGGCAGTTGGGTTGCCTCCACACCTTGGCTATTATAAATAATGCTGCATTGAACATAGAGGTGTATATATTCTTTTGAATTAGTGTTGGGGTTTATTTGGATGTATTACCAGAAGTGGAATCACTGGTTCATAAGGCAGATCCATTTTTAACTTTTTGAGGAAACTCCATACCACTTTTCATAGTGGCTACACCAAACTCTATTCCCACCAACAGTGCACAAGGGTTCCCTTTTCTCTACATCCTTGCCAACAACACTGGTTGTTTTTTACATTTTTATTGAAAAATATGTGCCTGTTTTTGGTATGTGGCTCTTATGAAACTGACTTTCTAATATCAGACATTTAAATTTTTTAATAGAATCTAAGGTTTTCTCTTTCTGTTTTAATTTTAAGTGGATGGGTGGGGATCCTTTTGAGCAAATGTGATAACAATTGCCCTTTTATTTTTCCCTGTTTGCTGAGGTAATTTGATGGACTCAAGTTGAAAAAAGTAACCTTGTTGCTTCTTGTCTTCACTCTAGTTCTTGCTACTGCCAGTCTGACCTGCACTTTTCCTTTATTTAAATCACTTTAAGTTCATTTCAACTTGCCCCTTCAAATCACTTCCTTAAACTTTTTATTTCTTGACTGTCTAGATAAGTTTCATTTTGGGATTATAGTGCTAAATTTGTTGACATGTGTTGCTTTGTTTCCATGACTGGATTATAGGCTTCTTGGGGGCAAAATTTAATACCACTGTGTTTAGTGTGCAGGTGCGCTCACAAACCTGATTGTAAATAATAACTATTGTCCTTGCTGCTCTAAACCAATGGTAGCCTGGTCTTGCCTACTATGCAGCCAGTCCGACTGCTTGGAAAGGATCTTGGACCCACCAGATTCCTCAGGATCCTGTTTGGTTTGGTGATCATAGTCTCTTCACACCTTCTGACTATGGTGCCATCAGAGTACCTAGGTAGAGTGGTGGAATAAGAATTTGGTGGATGTTATGCAATAAATATAATTTGTAGATTGTTATATAAACTTGGTGTGTGTTCTTAACATGTAATAGCTTCATGTTTGTGTAATTTTTTTATAGTGCCTGTGTATAGTTCAGATAGCTATGTTACAAGATTTCTCGAAGGTATAAACCAAATCCCTAGTAATTGTTCTTTACAATCTCTACATTGTCTGTTAGTTTAGTCTGTGTACATTGGGTGCTTGCTGCTGAATCAGTCTCTTGATTTTTACTTAAGTAAAATTTAACTTGGCTAATGTCCTGGATTTTTAAAAATGCAGTCCCCTTGTACACCTGAAACTTAATAATGTTACTAACCGATATTACTCCAATAAATTTAATTTAAAAATACAGTTCTTTAATTAAATCTAATACCATAATTTATTGATAGTTTCAGGTTATTGGCAAAAGAAGTTGTTTCCGTAATCCCCGTAGTGGCTCAGTTTATCTCTGAGGACCTTTGGATTTTGGTTGTGGTTTTTGTAATTTCATTAAATCGGATTGGCTAGAAATAAAAAGAACTTGTCTGTTACTCAGACTTACCTGCTTTGACTTGAGTGTGCCGAAGCTGTTGATCCTAGTCAGTTTTATGGCTATGCCTGATTTAAAAATGTCATTTTAGTGGCTTAGAATAAAAAAAGCTGCCTGTTACTCTGTGTCCTTCCTTTTTCACTGGTCAAG